AATGGAGCTGATGATGAAGCAAAGAAAGGGGACTTACCACAAAAGGTATATGTAATATTTCATGACCCACATGTAGGTCTAGCGAGCCATGTCACGATTGTTGATTCAACACAACAAGAAGCTGTCCCAATAGAACCAGTCATGGCCAAGTTCTATGGCAAGCAAGGAGTAACATTACAACATACACAGTTACCATTGCTACCTTGCTGGGTAGCTACTATACATAAGGTTCAGGGTCTATCTCTTGATGCTGCTGTAATCAATCTAGGTCCTAAAATGTTTGAGGATGGAATGGCATACGTTGCCTTAAGTAGAGTAAGAACACTCCAAGGAGTTGCTCTACTAGGACTAGTCGAAAAGAAAATCACATCATCAGCAGTAGCAAATGATGAAATGGATAGACTAAGGAACCATTGATTATAAATGATGATGTGTCTTCTGGGATAGTCAAGAGATAATACTAATACAAATTAAAACCACAAAAGTGTTGTGGTCTATATTATAGTATAATATACAACTCTTGACTCTGTTCATAATAATGGAATGGAGAATGGGGGATGGTGGGCCCAGAAGTAAAAGTCTCACTCTTTCTTTTAGTATTGAGTAAAGATAACATTAATAAAATCCAGCTCATTATAGTGGATAACGTATTTCATTACACTAAATAACATTAATGATTTGAGTGTATATTTATTATAGATGTATTATGATTTTGTTTGTACTGTATGTATACATACATACTATTTTTTGGATGTTTTACAAATGTAAAGTATATTGCAATTAATTAATACGTGCATATAATATTTTAGACGTTTGAATGTGTTTATCTTTGTATGTATGTACATCGTGTTCCTTTGTATTATCCTAAATTTATGTATAGACATGTATGCATATTTGTGTGTATGTACAATGCATGTATATGTCCTCTCTCTCTATCAAACAAAATCTCGCTGTTTGGAGTGATAATAAAATCAATATAATCTCGCTCTTTGGAGTGATGATAAGATCAATATAATCTCGCTCTTTGGAGTGATGATAAGATCAATATAATTTTGCTCTTCGGAGTGATGATAATATCAAAATAATCTCACTCTTCGGAGTGTTGCTTATTGGGGTCATGATAAGATCAATAATAATTTTGCTCTTCGGAGTTAAGATAAGATCATAAATAATGTCGCTCTTCGGAGTTATGATATGTATGATAATTGTTTGTTTGTGAACATTTGTGTTATGTGTTAGTATGAACGTCTAAATGTGCATGTATAAAATCAAAATAAGCATGAGTTAAAATAATAATAGTCAATTATTATGATGCTAGGAATAATAACATGAGCAATAAACAGACAGTGATGAAATCAATCTTAGGAATTTTTTTTTACTTAAACGCTTGTTTGCTTCCCTTTTGTACAATTGTCACAAGCAAAATCACTCCTAACACTGAAACTAGAAATAAGTACATGTACCATAACACCAAGTATGCAGGATGTACATTGTTATCATCAAACTCTTGCTGCTACTTATCATTGTATAACACTTATCTCAATTTGTTGCAGTAGCAAGAAGAATGCAATGCAGTAGTTCAAAAGCAGCTGACTAAATGAACTTCAGTAGCCAATATTGAGCAGCTGTAACCTCAATTTCAGTCTAATTTTAAAAAGAATCTTGCATTTAATAGTTAAGGTACTTTTGGATGAAATTTTAATATTTTTTTAATTGTTGCCATTTTATAGTAAAGAAAAAGTTGTACAACTTGTGCTATTTTTAAATTTTTACCATGCACTGT